GAAGCGGCACCCCACCGGGCGCGCGAGCCGCGGAGGAAGAGGGTCGCCGCCGGGTGTTCGGCCGCCGCGCTTTCGTCGTCGCAGTATTTCCTGTTCGGATTATCTTTTGCTTTTTCCCGGCTGCCTCCTTCCCCTCACACGCCTACTCCTCCGAGCCCCCTGTCGAAGCTGCCCTCGGTCCCGGCTCGTCCCCCGCGCCCAGGGACCCCCTGTGCCTCTCCTCCCGGGCTGCGGGGGAGCCCCGCCGGGATCATGAGGAAATTCAACATCAGGAAGGTGCTGGACGGCCTGACCGCCGGCTCGTCCTCGGCCTCGCAGCAGCAGCAGCAGCAGCAGCACCCGTCTGGGAACCGGGAGCCCGAGATCCAGGAAACGCTCCAGTCCGAGCACTTTCAGCTCTGCAAGGTGAACTGGGCGCGCGGCCCCGCGGCGCCTTCATTGAAAAATCGGGGTCGTTTTAGGGGGGCAGCTCTGGCTTCACACCGGAGTGCGAGGGAGGAGAGCACCGGTAACCATCGCAGCTCTAGTAAAGGGCTCGCTCCTCCCCTAGCGAACGTTTCTTTGGTGGGTTATTTTGAGCTGGTCTCTTACCCCCTTTCGTTGATATTGTTTTCTTCCTACCTTTTCACACGCAGCAATCAGTTCAGGGTTGCTTTACACGTATTATAAGACCTTTATTTCGTATTCTGACACTGCTAGCAATTATCTGGAAGTGTTTATAATCAAGCATTTAATGTAATTAACCAACTTAGAAGTTTCCTTTGGAAACGGTGTCTGATGATTATTGTTTATCAAAACCCCAAACCTGTCTAACCAGATCTTTGCTCATCACTTTTCTCCTACAATGTGATATGAGTAGCTTACACTAGGAAATCGCAAGCTTCTCTTGTTTTTCTGTTGTATTTGCTTAAAAAGTTGGTACTGTGATTTTTGCCTATTTCATGTTACGGTAATTGCTACAGCGTTCGTTCTGTAGTTCAGAAAGAATGATGCAGCGAATTAATTCACCAGCTACCCAGTGAGAAATACAAACTCGTCCCAGTATTTATGCCTTCCCCATAAATAACCACGCTTTCCTATGACAGTTTCTCAAGTGTGTACATACTCTTTTTGCCCTAATGCCCTAAAAATGAGTATAGGCTTAATAGTAAATTGCAGAAATATATTTTGTACTCACTTACATTCTGTTATAATTGCAAAATATAGCGATAGAGATTTGATAATTGTTTTACTGATCCTTCATTAAAATAATTACATGACAGCTTTTCCTTGGAAGTACTTCCATTTAACATCCATGTGAAACATTGATAAAATGATTAGTCTTGAAATAAAGCGTAGAATTGTATTCCTTAATGAATTCACAGAATTCTTAGTCACTGCAAACTTTAGTAATTTGATGGCCTACATAATATAAATATTAGTAAGAAATGATACGGAATACTAGTATTGGAAAAGCAGAAATTAAAATGTAGCACTTGTTATATATTTTTGTTTGTTTCTGGTTCTATGAGAATAACTTTAAGGTAGATTTCACTGTTTTTTCCCCAGAGCATGTGTTTTCCACCAGTTAGAGTTGGTTCTACATTCTAATGCCTCGATTGACTTTTCTGTTTTTAAATTTCGCTTGCTGCCTTGACTGCTGTGATGTCACTTGCCCATCCATAGACTGTTCGCCATGGGTTTCCCTATCAACCCTCAGCCCTGGCCTTCGATCCTGTACAGAAGATCCTGGCAGTGGGAACCCAGACTGGTGCTTTAAGGCTGTATCCTTTAAAAAAACATTTTTTTTTTAACTTTTACATTGTTCTTCTCAGTCTTTCAATGTTGCTGATTAGTTCCAAAGAAATGTTTATTTTCTGGCTTGATTCCAAAGAAATGGCATCATCAAGTATGTATTAGGAGAAATCATGTGCTTTGGCTTTCCTCTCCATTCTATATATATTCAGATTATATGATGATGTGATTTTCTCAACTCTCAGTTTGTAGTAGTTAAACATGTATTCAAATAGGGGTCCAAAGTTCTGGTGTAATAATTACTTTATTTGCAAGGAGCTAGAAACTTCTAAGAGGAAATGTATCTGCTTATACTAGTGGCTTATTAAATGGGTTATGAGAGGGATGATAGTTAAAGACAGTAATATGGTGCATATTTGAATTGTTTTGTAAAATGTGCTTGGTAGAGGTTGAACTTAATGGTCTGTTCTGTTAAATGGGAGGTTGGATTTGAATTGAAATTTGATTATTTCTCATAAATCTTGAAAAATCATGACCAAAAGACAAATGTAGCAAATGAAGTTTTTCTAGTTATAGGATTAATATTTCTAGAAATTTCAGAGCATTTTCTTTAAAAATGCATAGGGATAGATGTACCTTTTTGATATATTTGCCCTTTATAGTCCATATTTGTAATGTATTTGTAAAACCTGTCAGGTTAGTTGTACATTAAAGTATTAGTACAGAGAGAAATATTTTTCCTGGATGTGCATGAACTATAGTAGTTTAGTCATAACATTTTTTTCAAGTACTTCAAAGGATTTTTTCCAAATCTTTTTTTTTTTTTTAATTCTAGACAATGGAGACTACTTTTCATTTCCTCTTTTGTACTACTTGAAATAAAATTTGTCTTTGCTTTTACTATGGAATTTTAACTACACTTAACTAAAGATTCTTAAGTATAAACATTAGATTTTAAAAAGAAAATGCTTTTTTCAGACATCTCCATGATATCTGCATTACCTATTATTGAGGTAATGTGCTGGTAATAGAAAAAGTACCACTAAATGGCCTTCAATAGACCTTACTATTGTTTAAAAAAAAAAATTGGGTGGGGGCGGAGCTTTACATCAGTATGTTTTATATCTGGCTCCTGAGAAGGGGACAGGAACCTGCATTAGAGCTAAAATCTGTGCCAGGCATTTTACATACAATCTTTTGAAACATTTATTTTAAAGAAATAATATCAAAATGTGCCACAACTTTCATTGGTGATTTAGTGTGCTCTTTTCAGAATAAAACTTTTCAGATGAGCATTTGAACTGTGTTACTAAGAAAGATCTACTCTACATAGTAAATACTTGCAGTGCAGTTATACCTGTTTTAATGGTAAAACCTTATGCAATAAAAATGAACCTTTGGATTTTATTTTTAATTTAGACAGTGTCTTGCAGTTGAGATTGAATTTATTTTTTCCTAGATAGTTGAGACTACACTATTTTGGGTGTCTAATTTAGGTATTTTTACTCCTAAACCCAGTGATTGAGACCTAGTTTAGGGTTTCTGTTGTAGTCTAGTAAAGATGGGAATAAAGTTAATTTTGTTTGTATGGGTACTGAGTGTTCAGCAAAACTTTGTGTAGTGACAAGACTGGTGCATTGTTGGATCCAGATAGATTTTTTGGCACTGAAAGCAAGTTTTGTGTTTTTGGCTTTTGTGTTTTTTTGTGTTTTTGGCCTTTTCCCTAAATCATCACTGATTTAGAAAAGAAGTAAATTTGAATTTAGTTATTTTTAGACTATTTTGGTTTCCTTTTGAACGAGTTCAATTTTTACTGTCTTCCAAGTGTGATCTCAGTAGCCTCATGGTATTTAACTTCTTTTCTTTTGACAGCCAGACAGGCCCTTAAAATAAGTTCACCAGTAAGGGTGATTTTCTAAAACTAAATGCTTATCTTGGACAACACTTTTAACAATAATGTATTTGAATAATTGGCAGGTTGACAGAAAAGGTGTGGTTAAAACAGTTGGCCTCCTGCTAATTGCCAATTAAAAGCAAGGATTGAGTGTCAAGTAGTCACTGTCTTGATTGAGTATTATTGATACATCACCATTTTATATGACTAGATTATACATATTTTTAGTAGTTAACTGTTATATGAATGAAAGGGAACCTATAATTATAGTTTACAGTTGTGCTTCAATTTTATTTTTTTTCCCAGAACTCCCTTAATAGATTTGAATGAAGACTGGAAGGTGATTTACCAAGTGCCTTTCTACTTTCTCCTTTTTTGAGATTTGTATGATCATTCTAGAGTGATAAATTGGCTTGCCTGCCCAGCAGTAATACCACCTAGTCATTCCTTCTGTTAGGTTGAAGTAGCAGATGAGCTTATGAGCTTTATTTATTATGGCTCTGATTTTTAGAAAATGACTAAGGCCTTTCTATTTTTGCCTCATTTTCTGTGTATGTGGTTTAAAATATACATTAGTTTCTCTTTCTTTGTTATTGTTGAAATTAGATAACCTAAATTGATTTAGATTCTGATTATAAAGCTCTAAATTAGTTTAACATGCAGATCTATTATATGTCTGTTTATTGACCTTGCTCTTGTATTTTTCTCTATTATAATTGTTTCTTTTGGTCCTTTTCTTCTATTATATTCGACTCTTGAAATCTGTGATGCATTTGTCATTGAAAGTGTTCTTAGAACAGACATACATTCTAGATAAAGTCCTTCCCTTCATTTAACTGCTGAGCAAAAATTAGGAGATGTGTACAGAAGTAGGATTGGGCTGTTGGAATTCCAGGTGCATGTCTAATTTGGCTAATAAGATATCTTTCTAAATGTTGAAGGACTGTATTAAGTGGACTGATCTGTGTACCTTGAGTTACAAACAGAGAGCAAAAAACTAGATGAGAAAGTTATAGCCGATATTTAATGTTTGTAGACAAGGATTAATGAAAATCTGAATCCTTACATAATATAATACCTAACCAATAGTGAGGCAAACTAAATTTCATGCATTTCCTGCATTAATATGCATAGTAAATGTTTGAGGATACCATTATAAATATGCTTAATGCTCCATCTTCTTGGCTTCGAGAGAGCATATGAGGTTGGAATGAATTTACTGATAAGCAGGAAAACATAATTTTGTACGCCAAGTCACTTAGTAGTGATGTGGTTTAGTTATCTTAATTTTCCTTTACATTTGCTGTGAATAAATATGTATAATTCTTACAAGTAATCTAAGGATCAGAACTATTAGAATAAAATAACTCAATATCTGTTCCCATATGGACAAATAGAAGGGACATAAAAGGGGTTCTCAGTGAAGAATGAAGGTGCTGTTGACTTTATCTGGACTTCCTGTTAGCTAGTATAATTTTCAAATTGCTTTATATTCTCATATAATCATGGGCTACTCCAGTTTTCTTTGTAAGGTCAAATTTTATCTATGCAGTCAGGTCATTTTATATATGACTATTTCAAGGACTAAACCAAAGTAGAATTTCAGATTTGAGTAAAAATGTGAGGTTTTTAAATAATAATTATCAAATATGGATCAGAGAACCGCATTTGTTGTCTTTATGACTTGTGGAAAATGCAGTCTAATAGGCAATCTTTACTTTGATGAGGCACAGATTTTCTTTTAAATTGCAATGTAACATGAATAGATGCACGCTTACAAATGAATTTTTTTACTTTAACAAGCATTTACTAAGTGTCAAATGATATTTGGTTATACATTGTCGTCTGAATTCTGGTTCTTGTTTCTTTCTACCAAAGAATTATGTGTCCTTGAGTTAGTTTTCTTCTTACTACAAAAGTGAAAGTGCTGCATTAGATGATTTCTTTAAAAACCAGTTCTGTGATTTGAAGTAGTTGTACTGTGTTCTAGGTGATTAATACAAAATATATGAAAATGTGATCCTCCAAAAAGTTAGTAGTCTGAGCCAGAGGACTGAAACTAGATAAATGTAATTGAAATTGGAGATCCGTTAGGGCGCTACATATGTTGTACAAAGTCAGATTGGGGGGTAAATTCTTTGCATTTGATGAACAGTTAGTTACACGCATTGGTAGATAAAGATTCAGAATGACAGTGAGGAAGGAATAGGAAAATTATTCTAGGCAAGAAAAACAGTATGGGCAAAAGTATAGAAAAGGGAATTATTAGGGTAGTTTGGAAGACTACTAAAGAAAGTGGTTATCCTCAATGAATCTGTAGGAGTGGACTGGTAGAGGTGCCATAAGAACCAGGTGGTTAAGGACCTTGAATGCTAACCTCAGGTATCTGCATGCTACTCAGTTAGAAATCATAGTTATGTAAGGAAATGCTAACAGGAATTAGCATGATTAATGGGTCATTAGTGTGTGTCATGGTGCAAAAAATAAACCAAGCGAGACCTCCTAGGTCATTTTAAATTTGATTAGATAGTAAAGTGGACCCAGAATAGGGTGGTAGAATGGGAATTGGAGAAGGGTTTGATGACATACATGTACAGAATTTTAGAGAGTAACTAGTTTGCACTTGAAGCATTGAGGCAATTACAAAGCAGTAATGGGAAACTTGTAAAGAGATGGTAAAGAAATGGTAAGTTTAAAATTATGTCATCTTTTACTTTTCTCATATTGCTATATTATTGTAGCCTAGGCTTCTTGTTTTCATCTGAGAATTTGATGTACATTTATGTTTATTTTTCCTTTGGGCTGGTCACTGGCAATTTATTGAATTTTATTATTGAATTTATATTTAAAGTCATTATTAGCTGTTTGACTTTGTCCATTTATTTTCTTTCAGTGTTTCTCAACAGTGATTAGTAGGTAATTCTGTAAATTTGTTCAGCACATTGCAGGATTTTTAATATTTCTGGCTTCCACCAAATGCCAGTGTTGCCTACCTTGTCATTGTGGCAACTCAAATGCTCCCATACAGTTAGAGGTGGTCCTGGATGAAAACTACTACATGTCACCACATTTCCCCCCAGTTAAATAGGAATAATAACTCTAGCTAGCTCATGAGGTTTTTGACAGGATTAAGTA